GAACCGCGTTAAACGACACATTAGAGGATCGGTTGGTTAGGAATATATGTCTGGATATTGTAAAGTGAAAATTTTTCGCATAACCATAAATTTAATTCTTTTTGAAATTGGTCAATTGTGTTTATGTTGTTTCAGCTTCATTTTATTATTTTTTTAAAATTGTTGTAAAATTTCCGTACTACTGAGCGTTTTTTTTTATAAATGATTAATTTTGATATAATAATTGAATCCTTAGTACATCATTCGCTTACTTGAATGATCCTTCTGAAGGCGTTGTGCGAGGAATCCTTTCATCCCTCCCTTTTTTGCACTCATTCCGTCATACTGAACTCATTAGCCATTGTTAATACAACTTCATGACGACCTCTCATCTCTAACATGGTGGTACAGAAGCGAGTTCAAAATCCTCATGAGGACAACTCTACAGCCCTTTTTGTCCATTATGCCGTTTTCTGTAATTATTTTGTATTTCATGGCAAATTACGTTATAATGGCGTTGCCTTTCATTGTCATTCATTGTATTGAGTTCTATGACCTTACAAATCCTTCATCTCAAAGCTTTTCCTCCAGCTTCATCGTCTACACGAACCATTTGTTCTTATTCTATTCCTAGAAGTATTAGCTTGAAGCATATCGCTCGTAAACTAGCTGACGGCGAATTTAAAGCTCAGCGTTTACAAGCGTTGTAACAGGATGACTGTGAGGTTAAAATGAAATCCGGAAAACATTGTAACTCCTAGAATACTTTGGACGAAATCTACCTCATAGTACAGCATGAAAAAGTACAGAATGTGCTGATAACACAAACGTCGTTGAGTTTCGAACTAATTGGTTTCGGATTTCGTAGTTTAACATTTTGCTCAACTAGTGAAATTATAGAATATCCGTTATATTTGACTCATTTCGTAATTATACAACTACTACTTATGACTCATTTATTGAGGTTTTGCCAAAACTATTACTATGAGGTAACACCTCTTTTGTTTGACACCCTTTACTATTATATTGATCTTTTCATCTCTAAACATGATCCCAATAAAACTTTTGGATAATTTTAAATGTGATCCGAGAATAACTCAGAAGTGTTAAAATACTTTTCTTTAAGTACTCATCAATGAGGATGAGTTCAATCATACATTTCGAGTAGCGTTTAAACTTCTTGTTGAAAAACATTATTATTTTCTATAGTTTCTTTTTGCTTAGTACTTTAACTTGTTGACTTATTTATTCTATATTAATGTGAACTTGTATATTTTTTCCTCACTTTTTTAATAGAGACCTCATAACCTCATTTAATAACCTGCTAGAATTTTATAATGGTCATTGTTATTTCTATGACAAATTATTTAGTTAGGAACAATTTATAGGAGGTCCTATATTTTGACAATATAACTAACTGGTTACGAACTTCATAGTACAGTAAAGAACTCGTTTCTAACTCATATTATATACAGTTCCCTATGAGGTTTTAAAGTCAATTCGAAAAAACGTTCAAATGATAACCTTCAATAATAAAGATTCAATAGTAGATCATAAATTCTACTGTATAACTATTGAGTTTAGTTTTACGATTACATTGGCTATAATCTAATAGTTCATTAAGCTTAAACATGACATAGAATAAATGAGGATAATGTGAGGAGTTAACAAGACGATTTCATATGTTTTTTCCTCATCACTGGATTTCCCTCTAAATGGGCTACTATTCTTTCAGCATTTCAAATTTTTTCATCATCAAATTTTTTCAATTAAAAATTTAATAGTAAAGTAATAAGCTCGAGAACCTTTTGTATAGTAGTGGTCTTTTAATTTCAACTTAATTTTTTTCAAGATTTTTTTTTGAGATTTTTTTTTCTCGAAAAATTTTTCTCAAAACTCTCATTGAATGTTGAGCTTGTCACTCATCAAAAATTATCGATTTTTCGATTTAGGTAGTTAACAGTGAATGTAACTCATTAATGTGTTTACTTATTGATCTACATGTTATTTTGGCAATTTGCCAGCGGTTATAATTCTGCATAATTGGCTTAGTTTACAGCTGAATCAGCTGAACTAATTTTATATCACGTTTTTTTTTTCTTTCATCCAAACGCTTCACTTATTGATTTTTTTCGCATAATTTTTTTTATTTAATTAGTTTAAAAAAACAACACCTATTTTTGCCTACATCAAAGAATAAACTAAATTATAAAGCATTTTTTGACTAAAAGCTGTATTGATCGTATCGATTTTTATTCCTCATTCGCATCCAGGTCTTTTGTCCTCATCTAATTCAATTCCTTTCATTCAATTTTTATCGATTGATTCGTTGACGATACTTATAAAATTCATATATTTATTGTCATCGTTTTTAGCATTATTTATGGCACTCTTGAATTTCCTCTTTGTATTTCCTCATCGAATCACAAAGCCAGGGAGGACATTATCACTACGATCCATAGAAAGATGATGTTGATGGCTAAAAAGTGGCGCATTAAACACGAACTCATCAATCGTTTTGACTCAAATCATTTCAATCGATAACCTATCGCTATAATTGTTAGTTGACTAATGAAACTAATAAGCCGTTACTTTCAAATATTTTTTCTGCCAGTTGTTTTTTTCCCCTGGTAGAACACAACCTGCTCTGTAAATCCGCTTCAACTCTACACCTCACTTTAAAACTCAACAAATTTGGCTTAAGCATATTGTCATACAAAAAATATTGGCTTTTAATCGATTTTTTACCATATTAAAATATTACTAGTTGTTGAATGACTTGGTGTAAATTTAACATTATAGGTTTTTTCCTCATCCTCATATGCAATTTCCTCTTTTGTTTCCAAATGAGTGGGTACAATATTTGTTAGTCCCTTTTCAGTGTACATAGTTTTCTTATAATCGACGCATTTTATATCTATCTTAAAATGGAGCGCTTCAATTGCCCGTAGGCGATAGCGTGCGAGAAGATTTATGCAAATCTGTTCGTATATAATTAAGAGGATAAGCATTATTTGATTGAAATAAATTTACAAAATCAATTCAATATCAATTCATTTAAATAAAGGAGAAATTTATCATTCTCAATTTACATGTGGGCTTGAAACCGTTTGTTGAAATCATTTTTCTCCTCATAACTCAACTTATAACTCATTATTTTTTTTCCCTTTTTCCTTCCATAAGACTACGATACCCGTTTTGTTCCTGAATGTTTTGAATTTTCACCCCTCATAAAGTCTATATTGTTCTATTGAACTACGTGGATTATGACCCTCACGTCCGTTCAATACCTCATCAGCTGATCTCAATACTATGTTGAAGAATTTCTCCATTATAAATGAAGCTCATTATAATCAAGCACTAATTATATGCTTATCAATGAGTGTTAATGATAATCAATAGGTGGCAATGAATGATTGACCTCATAACATCC